ATGCCCGCATTGGGAGTAAGTGGCCGCATTGATTTTTTTAAAGAACCCCCCTTTATGGAAAATATTTTTTTTTAATTATTCTGAAAATTCAAGGATAGGTACACACTAAAATTCGTTAACTTTTTGCCTATTTTTAGATAACTTAAACGTATAAGAAGCGGAATTTAATCAAACTAGCAGTGAAATTATTGTAGAACATACGTTATATGTACGTTATAATTAATAAACGAACTGGCTTATTGTACTATTTTAAGTAAAAAACTTTTTTTTTATTATTTTTCACTTTTTTTTTATTGTATCCCTCTTATTTTTTTTTTTTTCAATGCGGGCACTTATTCCCAATGCGGGCACTTATTGGTCAGACCCGTGTTTATTTAATGTTACGTATACTTTACATAACAGATACAAAATTTTGTTTTGAGTAGTTTTAATTTAAATTCAATTAATATATGTATAAATTAACATGTGTTTTTACTTTAAGTTTTTAACACTAAACTTCACTACAGTTAGAAATTTACAGGAAATCAATATCAGGTAAGTAGGGGGACTACCCAAAACGGAAAAATATGGCAAGGGGTCTACGACACAAAAAAGTTTGGGGAACTCTGATTTAAGATTACCGAGTACTAGGCACCCCTTTACCTGTCGCTCTTCCTCCTCCTTGCTCTCCACCCTTCCTTCCTCTCCTTCTTCTTCCCTTTTTCGTCTGGTATCTGGGCAACCACACCTGACAGACCCACTGACATACAATACTTCAGCAAACAACAAAGGTCCCAGAAATCGCTCTGACGGACAATGACGGGTAAAATGAAATGCACATGTTGCAATTTCAAAATCTTATTTGGCTAGCCTAACAATGGTCATGTCTGGCTATCAAATGTTGCGAAACGCGTGCATGGTGCAAGTGGAAACCTGAAGGTTATCTTACTCACAAATCTGGAATTACATTTTAATTGATGAATCTATAATAGTTCAGGTAATTTATGTTCAGAATTCTTCACCCCAGTAGGTTCTAGGGAGGAAGGGTAAGATTATACTTTAGCGCATACCGCAAATACCTCATTTCTTACTTTAAAATGAAAGATTAGGATATAACTCTTACGAAAATATCATTTTTTCTTTCAGGAACCCCCTGCTTGCTATTTTATAGAATTTCGAAGTTGCATTTTTGGTGGTAGTGCTCTAATAATAATAATAATAATAATAATAATAATAGCTTTATGGTCCAACAGTTTCCCATTTATAGGACAATTTATAAACATAATACAAAAGCAAAAAGGTATAAATTTGTAACATGAGCTATTGGTCCGAATAAGCCTTAGCTGCCTTTAGCAGGTAATTAACATTTGTCGTAAATATATCACAGTAACATCCAATTCTGTTTAAGTTACAGCACATTACATATAACGGAGTCTTGAGAAGAATGTTTGTCCTAGCTCTAGGAAGCCCGAATATTTTATGATTGCGAGATGCAAACGTTGGAGTACGAAACTTGATCTGTTCCTGGATCAAGGGGCAATCAATTAAATTGTTGATCATTTTGTAGCCAAATATTATTGAGGCACAGTTTCTTCAAAGTCAACATGTCTAAGCGACTACATAGTTCCTCATTACTTGTACCTCTCTCTGCATATGTGCCATCAATCCTAAATCGAACAAACTTCATAAATTTCCGTTGTACTCTTTCAATAGCTGTGCTATAGCATTAATAGTAAGGGCTCCAAATAATACTACAATATTCGACTTTGGATCTAACATAAGCATAATATAATAGCTTAATAGACTTTATGTTATGAAAATTCCTGCAATTCCTTACTATGAAACCATAAGCCGAAAATGCTTCTGATGCTTTTTTATTTATATGCTGACTAAAAGTTAACTTTTGATCATAGATTATACCTAAATCACGTACATCAGAGCATCTTTCTAGCACAGACCTATCAATAGAGTACGGATATTCGCAAAAATTAATTTTTCTGGTATAGCTGACTATTTTACACTTCCTCACATTAAGCTCCCACTTGATTTCTACACACCAAGACATCACAAAAAAAATTTAATTGGTGTTGTAGCTTGATACAATCAGTATTGATCTGCGAATAAATTTTTAGGTCGTCAGCAAAGCCTAGGCGTTCACATTCAACTGAGTCACAGAGGTCATTAATAAATATCAAAAACAGTAATGGTCCCAGGTTGGACCCCTGAGGAACTCCAGAAGGTGCCAAGTAGGTCTCAGATTGGAAGCGATTATAGCTAACAAATTGTCTACGATCGGATAAGTAAGATTTCATCAACTCCCTAGCATCATCTGTAAAACCAAGTGCACCTAACTTATTTAATAAAGTTTTGTGGTTAATTTTATAGAATGCCTTCGAAAAGTCGGTATAAATAACGTCAACTTGCTCATTACTATCAATGGATTCCGAGAGATACTGCGTTATTATAAATAGATCTGTGGTTGCTGAGCGATTAGCCACAAATCCGTGTTGATGCAATGACAGCTGACGCTGGACGGCAGTGTAAATGCGACTGTACAAGACTATTTCAAAGACTTTCGAGAACATGCATAATATAGAGATTGCCCTGTAATTCTCAATATTTGACTTATCCCCACACTTAAACACTGGACAGACCTTAGCGATCTTCCAAATATCTGGAAATCTTTTTGTTATAAGACAAATATTGAAAATCCCAGTTAGAATACCAACAAACACTTCCACACGATCTTTGACTATAAAGGACGGGATGCCATCTAGACCAGATGTCATCTTATCCTTTAGTGATTTAATGGCCTTCCTGACTTCATTTTCCTCAATTGGATGAAAATGGACAAATAAATTACTATGATTTAGTGAGGCATCTACTCTAGAGTAGAGTACTGCTTTATATGCTGTCTTTTTTTGCTTTTTAGACAAAGGGATGCTCTAAATTATAAGAATATAACATACACTGTATAAAACTAAGGAAGGTAGATGTGAAACTGTAGAAAATCGTTGTTTTTTTTGCAAAAAAAGGTTCAAAACCAGACGTGTTATTACACATTAGCTTATTAGCTTAAATAACTGATCAAAATACATGCGTAAATGATGGTATTAACTTGGAAAAACTGTGTAGAGGTGTTGTTTTGTGATTTTTCAATGTCTACTTGAAATTTTCAATGAGTTTATAAGAAGTATCTGAAAGTACAAACAATTCTCAACGGTCATTTTACAACGCTTAATTCTTGACAGATAAGATAAATGATGTCCATTGTTGCCAAGTTGTACCTTTTTTGGGAGAAATACGTAATTAGAAATGAGGTTATTTGCAAAATAAAAGTCTTAGTTAATTGTAAATGGCTTATTTCATAAAAAGTTGGACCACTTCGCCGTATCATCGTCCAACATTATAGTTAAATAAAGATCAACGATCATTTCATCAAATCATCAAAAAACTTGCAATGTTCTTTGTTATGTCTTCATTATTTAGTGATTTGCAACAGCTACTTTTTCAGTTATTTCATTTTGTAACATCAGCCTCACATTAAATAATTCTTCAAGTACATACATACAAAAAGTAAATAGATTATAACTATAATATAGGAAAAATAATAACCGAAGTACTTTTGTGAAAGGTATAAGGCATTCTTCAAAAAAGTCTATTTAGCTAACGGTATCATAGGGCACACCTCTAAATCGCATTTTCGTGACAATCCTGCCGCACGGGTATCATGTAAAAAACCTATAAAACGTCAGAAAAACCTATAGGATGTCAACTTGCAGACTGGGTCGTTTTTAGGGCGCAGTCATTCCACCTTTGCTCACTAGGATCGTTGTGAACGTCCATCTATGGAGGAATCACTCAATTAAACTACGCATTATTGGTTACATAGTTTTGTGTGGCTGAGTGATCCGGGTTGATTATGTGCATTGGTCTGCATGTGTAAAATCAGTGATATCTGCTGTGTGAGAAAATCATTACTGGATATGGCTAATATGACGGGTAAGTATATGTTGTGCTTTCTGAAGAGAGAGAATGTTATAAATTACGAAAAACTTAGGAGAATTACGGGAAATCATCACCACGCCCGCGTTGTGTGTAATTACTGTTAGCATGTATATGGCTTGTAATTCGACAGTGTCCAGTGAATATAATTATTTCTTATCTCTCTCATTTTTGAAATTCAGCAAATTTGTATATGTAATTTCCAGAATGGATAAGAACAAGTGGAAGCGCAACTAATTTCTAGCTTTGAGTCTCAATTAAGTGTATTTGAGACAAGAACCGAATGTAATTATCATCAACACATACAACTTACAGCTTACACCTCCAGTAATGCCATCTCAGAAGCAGATTCTACATCACATCAGAGCCAAAGATTGGTAACAAGCCCATGACGTTTAGGCAACACGTACAACTAAGTGCTAAGTTAACATCTTGTAGAATAACCTACATATTGTCAAAAAAACAGCATAATGTAAAAAAAAATCGGCATAATGTCACTTTTCAAGATACGTGATACCCGTGCCGATTGCACATTTTCATGCTAGTATATAAGTAAGAATTTGACCAACCAAATTAAGGTATAATACTATCCATGATTTGGCAACATCGCAACTAGATGGAGAGAATATGACAGTGACGGTGGTGTAGTGATGGGAATAATTATCTAAAATAAAAGGAATGGCTACTTAACAATGAACTATTTTCATCATTAAAATAATGCAAAATTGCATTATTGCAATGAGCAGTATCACAGTAACTTACAGTTTATATTCATATAACTTAGAACAATCTTTTGTATACACAAGAAGAAAACAGCTTATGAAGCAGTATTCTATACCACACTATTACCACCCAAAATGCAACTTTGAAGTTATATAAAATAGCAAGCAGAGGGTTCCTTAAAGAAAAAATGACATTTTCTTTCAAGTTACATCCGTTACATCCTAATCTTTCATTTTAAAATGAGAAATGAAATATTTGCGATATGCGCTAAATTATAGTTCAACCTGAGGAAGCTTTGAGCAACAATTGAAAGTTGTGAAGCAGTCGATTTGTGCGATTGTGTATCTGAGCAAATGGCTCGACAAAGACATTAAAATTATTGAAAACAGATGAACGATGAAGAGTATCCTTGGTCGTAATCATGAAGAATCATCAACTCTATAGGTGGTAAATTGGTTGGAGTCGAAACACCACCAATGGCAATGATGTTCGATTGAAGGCTCACTGATGACAATTTTGACAAGTCACTGAATACAGCCTGAAATTCAACAGTGGGTTTGTATTGTATCTGGATCTACTCATACACAAGGTGATAAAAAACAGTTCATCCTTCTAGATCAGAAAAAAGTACACGGACAGTTTCTACTGAAATGTCCTATTACCAAAAAGTATTACTTGAAATTTTGTATATAAAGCAGGAATGGCATAACCAATACATAAAAAAATTTGTATGGCTTGAATCACAGTGGCGAATCCCCACAGAAAAAATGAAGAAAACCAGGTATTTTCTATGACGATGATTTTTTTGAAACATCTTATACATTACAAATCAAAGAGGTATTAATCTCTACATAGACTGCCTCCTCTGAAAAAACGTTTTCAGGCCATGCCTTTTGGAAAAAATTTGCTTTGCATACTTGAAGTAAAGTCTATATAAAAAAATAAATATTTGAGAGTATGACGTACGCGAGTAATGCCATGCCACTGCTACGGTATTACATGCTTAATGTTGTCAGTAGGTAATACATTTTCATCACCCCTATATTGATCATGAGATCTTTCAAAACCTAAAAGAACTAGACTAAAATTGATGTTTATTTTGATAATCACGAAACGCTTTCCGATGTATCTAATTTAACAATGCATTAATGGAATGAATTTGGACCACGATAGACTGCGGTAAGTCAAGGATTAGACCCAATTTCAGAAGATGCAATGTCTTTCTCATGTACACAAACGTGCCTTCACGAAAACTGTAATTTGTTCATTGCTATTGCCATGGTAAAATATATAATGGCTGACATTTCGTACCCATATATCACTATTACAATCATCTCTCGTTACTGCTAATTCAATTTAAGATATTGTTACGGGCACGACGTTACTCAATTTGTTGTGTATATATCGCAAACAGTTTGAGAGTTTGCTCGTGCAAAAAATGTATGTTGACTTTGCTCTTCCAGCAAAGTTTTATTTTAGTTATGCAATATTGTCTCCTTTTTGCATAAGTTTTCATACTGGACTAAAAACTGTACGTGAAATTTGAAGATAAACACTGTATGCAAATATTTGAAACCAATGAATTCCGACGCGGCAGAAGCAACTAGTGTGCGATCGATCCAAGATTAGGTGGGTGCAAGTGACTGAAAAGCGATCAACCTAAAGCTACCAGTTTGACAGTTGATGAAATTCCGCCATAAATTCGTATTTTTCAGCAAATGGATCCAGGGTTGAAGAACATGTGGGCTGATACATCAGGCTGCTCACTTGTTAAGGAATTCCTTAGACATCGTAGTGAAGAAGTAGCAAGAAACTACCTTTCGAGGTCATCTAAGGCAGCATCTCTATAACTTGTGACACAACTTTGGCTGTTCCATTACAAAACACAGTAATTGCATGGTTACCCCAATGGCGAAAAATCAATCTTTCTAAAATGTATAAGCCGCAAGAAATTATTAAAGAAAATCGATCAAAAACTTCACGGTGTGTTAGATAACCTCCATCCACGTTTTTCTTTATATAACTGAATGGAAAAATATGCCTTGGAAACAGATCGGCAGCCAAAGAACTAATTTTTCATAGGCTTAAAAAATTAGTAAAACAAATTATTCCATTACAAATACAGTAACTGTTTTGTGATGAGTACATACCTAAAAGATACTCCGTTCCACAGAACAGTAAGTGCTGCTTCGTGTTTTGCAAAAAATAAATTTGAAATATACGATCTAGATATCTTTACTCCAATAAAATAGAAAATAGAAAAGGTACCTGCTGTTATTTATTTATTTATTTATTTATATACAGTTTGGGGTGTTAACAGGTAAACCCAACACACACCCTCAGTGAACTAAAACTTAACTTACATAAAATATCGTATACATATACATATATTACATTATTGAATACTTCAATATTAATATTTTTTTTATCGTCCGATATTGTTGTAACAACATAAACTGAGTGAGTAGTTCTAATTATAAGCAATAAACTATTAATTTAACTTTTTTAATAAAAGGAGTATACATAATTTAACATTTACTTACGTTTAATTAAAACTGAAATCAAAATTAAATTGAAATTATACCAGAAATGATATTGGAGGTGATAACTTGAGTTATGTAAAAAAATAAAACATTTCTATTTTAGTCTGCCATAGAGCTGTAATACTCATACTTTAAAGCATTTTTCAGGAAGGTCAAGCTCATGTTAAATGATTCTATATTACAGAAATTATTATGATTTTTTTGAGCCCTGACCAAAGGGGAATTAAGCCCAAGATTAGTTCTACGAAACGGTCTTCTAAACAGATGATAGGTTCTAAACGTTCTATCAGGAGTGTTAAAGTTCAAGTTTGCCAAAAGATCCGGACAGTCAGTGAGGCCATTCAACAATTTATGAACACAGCAAATGTCAGAAATCGTTCTTCTATCTTTTAGGGAAATCATATTGAACTGTTTCATAATTTGCGTATAATGATGATCTGTAACAGGTTGGTGAGTTTTATGTGCTAACATCTTCAAAAATTTGTGTTGAATTCTGTCTATCCTGGATATATGTACATTGTAAGACGGATTCCGTATTACTGATGCAAACCTGAATTTGTTGTTTATATAAGCGTAGTACAATGAAAGAAGTGTTTTTGGGTTCGTAAATTCTCTGCATGTCCTGTTTACGAACCCTAGTGTTCTATTTGCATATTTACGATGTGCTCTACGTGAGTGATGAATGAGAGTTTCTCATCAATGTATACCCTAGGTCTTTTACTACATGAAGCTCTCCCAGTTCTGCCGTCCCTATCTTATATCTGAAATGTGTTCACTATGTTTCTAGTAAGCCTCACGTAATGACATTTTGTTAAATTCAGGAAGATACTGTTTTCAGTGCAATAGTTTTGCAGAGATTCCAAATCGCTTTGAAGCTTTACACCGGCGTTTACATTTCTAACAATAGTAAATATCTTTAGATCATCAGCATATAACAAATATTTACTGAAATGAAAAACAGAAGCAAGGGTGTTCATGTATATGTTAAATAACAATGGTCCTAAGTGACTACCTTGTTGTACGCCTGAAGTTACTAAGAATGTCTCCGAACGATACCCATTGATAGTCACCACTTGTTTACGATTACTTAATGTATATACGATGCTAGCCACTGCCTTAATGGACCATCTACACCCACCTCTGCAAGTCTCTCCATCAAGATAGAATGTCGAAAGCCTTACTGAAGTCGGTATAAATAATATCCACCTGCAGTTTCTCATCTATTGCGTGAGAGGCATATTCTATAAAACTATTCGTCTGTACAGATCTTTTAGAAAAAAATCCATGCTGCTGATCCGTAATGATATTTTTTGTAATGTTTAAGATAGCATCATAAATCAGCTTTTCAAAAATTTTTGAGAAAATACAAAGTTTAGTGATATGTCGATAATTTTCCACAAGATGTCTATCGCCCCCTTTATGAATAGGCAATCTTTCACCTTCTTTCCATCTCGTTGGAAAGACTCTTTGAGTTAATGATGGTTTGAAAATTAGGTGAAGTGGTAAACATAAGCTAGCGGAACATTTTTTTGCCGTCAGGGCCTACTAATTTTTTAATTTCTAAGGACACTATTTGTTGATATATTAGTTCAATGGAGATTAAGGTAACATCAATAGGACTAGCATCCTTGTTTAAATAAAAATGTTTAGATTTAACATATACATTTGCAAAGAAATCGGCAAAGGCATTACACACCCCACTTCCGGTTTTAACTTCATAGTTTGAATGATTTATAGAACTAGGAATAGAGACATGACATTTTTTCTTACTTGAAACGTATTTCCAAAAGTGTCGGCTGTCGTTCAATATATTGTTTTCCATCATCGTTATGTATTCATCCAGGTTTTCCTTAATTAAGATTTTTGATTTGGCTCTAAGGTCACAGAATATCTGATATGGGTATGGATCATTAAAACGTTTTTATAGCCTATGATACTTATTTTTTCTCTTATGTGTCAACCGAATTCGAAGTATTATATATTGAACATTCGTTACTAAGTATCAAGTCTACTAAATTGCATTAACTGTAGATACGACAATATGTCAAGTAAGGCACTCGTTTTCTCTTCAACATTAAGTGGCTCCATAAAATGTTCATTAAGTACTGGTTGCCAATTGACACTTGGAAGATTAAAGTCACCAACCAACAACACCGTATTTTGTCGAAAAAAACATTCATTCTGGTATAATTTGCTTACAACTGAGGCATATGAAATGCTATCCTTAGGTGGTAAATATATACAGCTTATAAATAATTTGGTACCGTTGATATGTTCGATTGATACCCAAAGATCTTCAGCATCAGATTCGAGTTCACAACAGCGTTTTGAGTTGAAGACATTTTTTACCGCGATTAACACACCACCACCATCACTTTTTTGTGCACATGAACTCTCACGATCTCTTCTACAGTATATTCAGATAAGAGATAGACCGGACATAAACAAGACCACGTGATCATCGAACGCTGTAACATTCGGCAGGGACGTATTAGGAGTCACGCAGTACATATTTTAGATAGTAGATGCTGCTTTGCGTAACTTTGTAGTAAATTAGCACAATTCGATGTGTATACGATTGGTGATGGATATAGGATCATGTAGGGGTGGGGTAAGAAATATATAATGATGTAAATATACATAAGGGTTTCAAAATTTTCGCTTCGATTTCCAGCTTCGGATGCCGCCTAAATTAAAAATAATCGTATATCTCTTAAAATTGCTTTTAGAATATTGATTAGTATATTTTTTGATTTCTAGGTAAATATGTAACCAAATTAAAACGTTCAAAACGTAAAAAAATGTGCATGGTTGAACATTGTCAGAAAGTAGATTCTTGAATAGGTTTTGCCAAAATGGGTTCAAAAATGTCAATAATTAATTAAAAAATACAGTAGCTTTATAATTACTTATAACTTACCGAATTTGATGAACGACTTCTTTTATTGGAAAGATGAGCTTGATGAGCTTTCATCATCGCTACTGCCTGAAGCACCAACGTCAATAATGAATGGCTCGACTTGTTCCTCTAAAATATTGTCCAGTTCCCACATTCTCTTTTCAACTTTGTCTTTCACGTGCTTAATACAGTTTTCCCATTTTTGCGCTGTTATTAATTCTAGTGCTTCTTTGAAAAGTCCTTTGAGGTCACAAAATTTAAAAGTTGTATTGTGCTTAGCTATATAATTTTTAACCTCTGCCCATATGAGCTCAATGGGATTGAGGTCGCAATGGTATGGAGGTAAACGGAGCACAGTTTTATTTTGACTTGCTGCCATTTCGTCAATGGCGTATTTTTGATATTCCGCCTTGTGATCCTTGACAATTCTTAATAATTGTACTTTCAGCATTGCTTCTTCAAAGTTGATATTTTTCGAGCGGAGCCAATTTTGAACATCAACTTTCCTTGAAGCCGTTGTTGGGACCTTCTCCATTCTTCGAGAATGATAAGGCGCATTATGTAAATACTGTGTAACCCATTCCAAATAATTCGCTGCTGCATACACCATCTTTGAGCCACGTCTCTGTCAGGCATATTATGTTATAATCACTTGCACGAACATTATTAAAGAACTCCGTTGTTTTAGATCGTAGTCCTCTTGTATTTTGGTAGTAGATGATTAGGTCCTGACATTTGTTATCCATCTTAACGTAGATAGGTATTTTCTACTTACTTTGCTTGTTGACGGCTTATTTGATGTTTTTTAAACCCTCAGTGTCTTTCACAATAATGACACCTGAGGTATCTTCCTTCCTTGCAAAGATCTCGCCATTTCTCGTCCAGACATATTTGTATTGTTTCAGTTTAGCTAACCTTCTTGCTTCTTTATAGATCAACTTATTTTGCATTGTGAGGTTCTCATTGACATAGAATTCATCAGGCACTCCCTGAATACACATATTTGGCGATCCATTACTCCTTTGCATTAGTTTTGCTTTTGCAGCAGCCAAGATATTATCTTTCCGCACGGGAGACAAAACGAGCAATTATGTTCTTTTTTTTTGATTTAGAGTTTTTATTTATTGGAACTCGATGGGTATATTCTATTTTGTCGGCATCGATTTTATAGCCAATGTAATCTCCTATTTTTTTCATCACTTCTGTAAGATTTTCATTTTGTTTTTCTGGTATCCCTTGAATTTTTTTGTCTAGAAACCTATTGATTTTTGTTTGAAGGTTTGACACCTCAGCTTTCAAGGTAGCATTTTCACTAATTAATTTTTCTGTTTTCTTTAAATATTCATCGATTTTTTACAGTTTGAGTTCAAAATCGGTTACTTTTTCACTGCAAAATGTAACTGAATGTAATATGAAACTAACAAAGCAGACAGTATAAATAAATATGTACTTTAAACAAAAACGAATAATATTACAAAAATGACGAAAGGAACGAGCTAATCACATA